CGCCGAGCTCGAGCCGCACATCGTGCCCAGCACCAAGAACCCGTACGTGGGCGCCGCCCAGGGCCCCCTGGCCGGGGAGGACGGGTCCCGCCCTGCAAGGGCCAGCGAGCTGCGTCCGCAGCCCGGCCTCCCGGGGGGCGAGACGCGAGTCCCGGGGAAGGGAGGTTTGTCTGCGCCCTGCTCCCTAAGGCTCGGAGCCAGGCCGGCTTTGGTGCGCCGTAATTTGGAAGGGACTCTGTGATTGAGCTGGCTGTTAAGGGTGGGGGGCACGCGCCCCATGTCCGAGGAGGCCCTGCGCCAATCTTGACCGTGTGTTCACCATGCACCAGAAACCCCGTCCTGCAGGTCACTCCCTCCGACAGGTGGTTCCCCCCGCCACCGGCAAGGACTCGCACGCGGTGCCGAGCAGAGCCCCAGCCACAAACCAGGGTCTTTTCCCCAGGCACCAGCTGTTCTGCAAACTGACCCTGCGCCACATCAACAAGTGCCCGGAGCACGTGCTGAGACACACGCGGGGCCGTCGCTACCAGAGAGCGCTACACAAGTGTCCGTGCAGGGCCAGGCTGGAGTGGGGAGCAGGAGGGGTGGTGATGAAGGGGCAGGGCAGGGTGCCCCCGGGTTGAATTTACCAAGGAGAGGGGACCGAAGATGGAGGGATCTAACTGTGGCACTAGCCATGTGGGCTTCCTAGAGAGAGTGTGTGTGTGTAAGGTGGGGTCCCTATCATGGAAGCCTAGCTCCTCTGCTCAAGCCCAAGTGAGCGTCCAATCTGGGCCTGAGAAAGGACTCTGAGCTGCGAGGGACAGCCCCTGGCCACACCTCCCCTCACCCGGTGGGAGCTGGTAGGGTGGCAGGTCCTTCTGCAGGAGGGCCAGGCCTGGCCCAGCAGCATTCATGGGTCAGCCCATTGGTAGAGGGCCGTGTGTGCTGACAGGACCCCTGAACGCCCCCCCCCCCCAGATACAGAATGCCAGCAGCAGGGGCTGGAATACGTCCCGGCCTGCCTGCTGCACAGAAGGCGGCCGCGAGGAGAGAAGGAAGGCACGGACACCAGGCCGTCTGGCGGAAGGGGAGACTTTTGGGAGCCTGAGCCGAGTGAGGAGCAAGGAGCCCAGAGCGAGGACAGCATGAGTGACCTATACCCACGTAAGCAGGCGTGCCCCGCGGCATGTTGCCCCTAGCTGCCCGCACCCTCGGTGCCCCTCACAGGCAGGTGTGACCATCCCGCCTCACTGCTCCTTCCAGCCGAGCTGTTCACAAGGAAGGACCTGGGAAAGACCCAGAACAGCGACGGCACTGGGCACTGTCCAGTGGACAGCGAGGATGACACGCCACAGCCCACAAGAGAGCCAAGCATTGGGAACGGAGGGGCTGGGACCGCAGGCCGGAAGCGCAAGAAGGTGAGCCGCTGGCTCTTAAAACAGCCTTGGAGGTGAGCTGGGGGCATTGGCGGCCCCAGGAGCCTCTGCCAGGGACCCGCTCTCGGCAGGGGCTGGGCTGAAACCCACCTGCCTGGAACAGTGGCCTTTGACCATGTATTTTATTGCCATTGTGGGACCAACTCTAACTCAAAGCCGGGGAAGGGTTTCCAGCAACTGGTTTTCAAGCCTCTAATGAACTTGAACTTCTGACCTAGCCTTTCCAAGGTGGGCTCTGTGCTGTCCCTGGTGAAAGGTGCTGGAAGGACCAGGGACCGCTTACAGGCTAGAGCTGGGGCTGCAACCAGGATTTCGGGTTTCTAAAAAGTGTTTAGCAGGCAGGTAGAGCAGCCCTGGTCTGCACTGCACTGCTTCTGAGTATAAGGGTTGCTCCCTATAATGTTCGAGGCATGTTCTGAGGGTGCATGTGGGCTGGGTGGAGGATGGATTCATGACACCCCATCCTGGGGTCAGGGGGCCCTGGTAACTGCTTCTGTTTGTGCCACAGAGGCAGCTGGGCTCACTGAGGAAGAAGGTGAAAGGCCACCACTGCAGACCTCGGAGCTTCGGGTCCAAGAAGCAGCTGGGCTAGTCTAGGGGGCTGGTGCAACCCCCAGGAGGCACCGGTCCACCCCTGCGTGGAGCTGCCCAGTGTGCCCTGCACTGGAGAGGCCCCCAGCCAGGCCTGCCCGGGAAGCCAGTCCTTGAGCAGCCCTCCTGCAGTATCCCAGCTGCGGAAGTGACTCAGCCCAGCTGGGGGCGCCGGACGACCACACTGCACACAACAAATGCCAGTATTTATTTCTGATGTGTCTTCCAAAAATCAAGGCGTTTTCAAACACAACTAAGATATAAAATACAGCATAAAATGAGATTTATACCTATTTCCCCGGTAAAGCCAAAAATTTTTTTCCCCAGAAATTGTTTTGCCAGAATCTATTAATAGATCAATAGATCAGTCAAGGGCCCTGGGAGAGGGGACAGCTGAGTCGAAGGTAATGGGTCATTGTGACTTCCATCCAGGCAGTGGGCCCAATACCACCAATGGGGCGATGGCACTGATCGGACAGGGCCCCTCCACATGACTGACCCAGTGGGCTGTGGTGTCTTCCCCTGCACTGTGGGAGCGGGCCCTGTGGGGACACTCGGGAACTTACTGGAACACAGGCATGGTTAGGGCCCACCTGTGACCCGGCTTGGCAAAACTTGACACCCCAGCCCCTGCCCCAGAGCCAGTGCTAGGAGGGCACCCAAGACTGACCCACCCAGCTTTAGATTAGAGTTCTCCCACAAGAAGAGGACCACAGTGTAAGGCAATGTTAGAAAACTTTAAAGACAGGATTCAAAGCAAATTTCGGTAAGGCATCGCACATCGCAGAAAGGAATTCTTGAGCCATCTGGCAGGTTGCAGGGGAGGGAGCTGTCCCGAGGGGCAGGTGGGCAGACTGCCTGCGCTTGGTGGAAAGGTCAAGTGTGAGGTAACAAGCCTGTGGTTCCTGGGCAGCCAGCAGATGGCTGGCCTGGCCCCTCCCCTGCCTGTGGGACATCACTCAGGAACCTCCATACCCCACGGGCTGCAGCTCTGACACGGGACCCCCTCTAATACTGTGTCACGTCTTTTCTGGGTTCTGGAAATGTCTGGTTTTTCCTACAGGCAGAGGTGCTGTCTGGTCAGGCCAGCCCAAGTACCCCCATCATGTCGTTTGGCTAAGGATGTAAACTTCGAAGGTAATAATGAGGGAGACCACTTAGACTGATACACAAATGTATCTGCTCACAGTACAGCGCAGCTCGAAGGCCTCCCGCCCCTCCCTGCCACCCACCCACCCCAACAAAGAGACTCCAACACAAAAAAACGACTGAGGGGCCACCACCAGCCAAGGTCCCGGGCCTGGGGCTAGCGCCGGGGCGAACATTTGGCCAGCATGGAGTACGTGGATGCAGCGATGGCTCCGTGCGCGGCAGGGTTGGCCGTTGGTTTTCAGGTGTCTGCAGATAAAAAGTTCTCCAGACACCTGTGCCTTTACCGAGGAGGGGGTGGGGAGGGGGACAGCGCTGGTCCCAGGGCCATTACCACTCCTTCTTCTTCTCGTCCATGGAGACGCCCCCGGGGCCCAGGGCCACCACCAGGAGCAGGCCCCCGATGACGGACATGGTCTGGAAGAAGTCGTACTTGAGGAAGTCGTGCATGGGCTTGTACACGGGGACGGTCCAGAAGGCGTTGAAGTACACGTTGATGGCGAAGAGCCAGACGACCAGTGTGAGTGCCGCCAGCTTGGTCTTGAAGCCGATGGCCACCAGGACCATCAGCGCCGTGCCCACAATGTTCTGCAGAATCTGCATCAATACACGAGAGTCAGGACCGGGCGCAGACCCCCCAGTCGGGGAGGAGGGAATGGCCATCATCACGCGACACTGGTCCTGACCGGTGCTTGACGAGGCGCTGGGAAAACTTACAGGCTCCCGGTGACAGGCTGCGACTGAGCAAGGCATGGGAGTCCTCCCCTGACCACCAGTCCTTCCCACCCTGGGCCCTTCAGCAGCTGCCTACCACACCAGCCTGTCACGGGCATTGCATGCCCCCGGGGCGAGAGCAGAGCCCTCCTTGGGGCTCTAGTGCCCTCACTCCCCAGAGGTCAGCTTGACTGAGCAGGTGGCACAGGGTCCAGGCTTGGGAGCTTGGTGGGCGCCCAGAAGGTAGGCTCTGGCTGCAGTTTGTTTGCTTAGATGGGGTCTGAACCAAACAGCTGGTGACATTGGGAACCTCACTGGCTAACGGGGAGAAGTGGGGTGGGTCACTCACAGAAAAGAAGCTGGCGTCGAAGTGGAGCAGGGTCATGAACATGAGGACCAGCAGGACCCGGCCCCCCAACTGCATGTACTGTTTCGGGGAGCTCTCCCGCATGGTGGGGACACCCGCAAACATGCTCTTCCCTTCCGAGCGCGACTCTGCCAGGAGCAGCAGCAGGCCTCCACCCAGGGCCAGGTTCCTGGAGGGAAAGCTCTGGGTGAGGACGGGACAGGAGGCCCCAGCTGAGGCCACCCACTGGCCAGCTCGGCGCTTTCTCTGCAAGCCACTGACTGGGACCCCAGCCGAGCTCCCCGGCAGCTTCTGTCCTGGATGGCCCTGCAGTCACCCCACAAGCACCTACCTCATGAGGAACTTCAAGTCCCACAAGATGCTGTAGGCGATTGTCTGCAGGAACAGAGAGAGCGAGGCTGAGGTCTCCACAGAAGGGAGGCTCCAGCCAAGCCCCCACCACCCCAGACCCCCCCATGCCCTCCTCTCGCAGCATTTCCCTGAGGACTCCAGGCCCCCCTACACTGCTTTTTACGTGTGCAGCCCCACGCCTGCGGGTCAGGGGCAGGAGCGATTGCCAAAGTGGCGGGTGAGAAGGGAGGGCATGCGGTCGGTCACCTGGCAGTAAAGCAACAACCTGGTCGTCCTCCATTTTCCCCAAAAGCCAACACTGGCCTGATGACCAGCCCTGCGGAGTCCAGCCCAGCCCTAGGTGGGGCACCGCACCTGGATGGGCCTCCTCCGTGAAGCAGCTGAGAGCCAGCATGGGTCAGAGAGGAGACTTGGTCACAGCACAAGACGGTGGGCTGCGTGTGCGGCCCTGCCCACAGCCCAGGGCCTCGGGAAGAAGAACTCCCAGGGTCCCGTCCCGGTGGGCGGTACCTGCAGGGCTATGATCCCGAAGAGTCCAAAGCAGGCGTACTGCACGAGGTTTCTGCTCAGCACCAGGACACAGCCGGCTGGGGGGAGAGCCGAGGTCAGGGCACGGGGCTCTGGGCTGTCCCTGGCACGCCGCCCCCCTGCCTGCCAGCCTAACCCCAGGTCACTCACTCAGCTGCCCGAGAAGGTTGAGGAAGACGAAGGAGGAGGCCAGCAGGTAGCCGCAGCCCCAGGTGCTGTCAATGTAGTCCCGCTGCTCCCCCCA